ATTGTAAAAAAAAAACAGCAAAGCCCAATATACTATAGAACATACCAATACGGAATTGAAAAAGAAAACCGGATGAGACGCAATTGAATTAAGATTGAATGCTTGGGTTAACTGCTGACGTGGCTTTTTTTGCCCCACCCTATGATGCTGAGTTGGACACCCTAAGAAGGGAGAAAACTCAACTTTATTGTATAAGATAATCAAGCTACTTATACGAAATGATTGGAAGAAAAAAGTTAAATTTCTAAATCTGGTGAGAAGCGCATCACATGTCGACGGTATAGTTTATTAGTCAGCGCCGCTCAATAGGTCTTTCTTTTATTTATTTTCTTTAATTTAATCCAAAATCTCGTTATATGAAAAGACGATAGTACCCCTTAATTGTCGAAACAGAGAAGGAGAAATAGAGACTCCGAGAAAGGTCATCCGTGAAGATTTGTTCGCATCTGATTCCTCCGATCTGTCATGGCTAAGGGGTTTCACTAACAACGCTCAGAGATTTCGTTGGGTGAAGGAGGGAGATAGATAGATTATATCTTTTCACATCCTTTCATCGTCTCGAGTAAACGGTTTGTTCTTCGCTTTTGTTTCATGTGGATTCGTTTTGTGTTAGAGATTCTCTTATATTGATTCCAGGATCGTAAAGTTTTCATATTTATGCCTTTTTCGATCTGGGTTTTGCTTCTAGATCATCTATTGTATTGATCTGAATAAGCATTACTATCCTTCTCTCTGACCTAGATTAAATTCTCCATTGATTTTTAGCTCTTTCTGTGTTGACCCTTTTGAGATTATTTTCTGATGGGTATGTTTATTTGGTGGTTATAGTGTATAAAGTCTCACACTTTGGAGAAAACTTCATTCTGAGAAGATAGAAAAATGGCAGATGGGATATCAAGCTTTTGGGGTCCCGTGACTTCCACCATAGAGTGTTGTGAGAAGAACTACGCCTACTCCTCCTACATCGCAGAGTTCTACAACACCATCTCCAACATCCCTGGAATCTTACTCGCTCTCATTGGTCTCATCAATGCCTTAAGGCAACATTTTGAGAAGAGGTTCAGCATTCTCCACATATCAAACATGATCCTCGCCATAGGCAGCATGCTTTACCATGCCACTTTGCAGCACGTGTAAGTTATAATACCCTTAGCTTCCTGATCCCAATTTTGGTTATTGATTCTATGTCCCTTTGATCCACAATCAGGCAACAACAGAGCGATGAGACGCCGATGGTGTGGGAGATACTTCTCTACATGTACATCCTTTACTCACCGGACTGGCATTACAGAAGCACTATGCCTACTTTTCTCTTCCTTTATGGTGCTGCCTTTGCTGTTGTCCACGCTTTCCTCAGGTTTGGGATCGGTTTCAAGGTCCATTACGTGGTTCTTTGTCTTCTCTGCATCCCTAGGATGTATAAGTACTATATTTACACTGAGGACACTGCGGCTAAAAGGATTGCCAAGTGGTATGTTGCGACGATTCTTGTGGGGAGTGTTTGCTGGTTCTGTGACCGTGTTTTCTGTAAGAGGATATCTCAGTGGCCTGTGAACCCTCAGGGACATGCTCTGTGGCATGTGTTTATGAGTTTTAACTCGTACTGTGCGAACACGTTCTTGATGTTCTGTCGTGCTCAGCAACGTGGATGGAATCCAAAGGTTAAGTACTTTCTGGGAGTTCTTCCTTACGTCAAGATTGAGAAGCCAAAAGCACAATGAGAAGAAGAATTGGGTAAAGAGAGCCCAGAAGAAGAGCCATGAATATAGCTTTTTGTTCATCGTTTTGTCAGAAATTTCGACGTTGGTTTTCATTTTTTTTTTGGAAGTGAAAGTACTCTCTAGATACAGAGTCTAGATTTCTTTTTTGTTCTTGTATTAGCTTTCTTGGTGATGATGATCTTAAGAAGAATTGATTTTTAACTTGCTGAAACGTTTTTGTTTCACTATTTCTTGTGTATCATCTTTTAATTTGATCACAATCTTCTTATTTCTCAGCTATTAACTTACCATCTTTTTATTTTGATCAGAGTCTTCTTATTTCTCAGCAATTAACTTGTACCATTAATTTCTCTCTTCCCCATCCAACAACAATCCACTGGTTTGTGTTTCGTCTACATATGTTGTCAGGTCAGAAAACTTTGATTCAAGGGCTTAACAATACCTTAGAAAGAAGTGGGATTTCTGACATTTGACATACTGAACTGTTTAAAATCTCAAATGCTGCATAAAGTTGTTCACAAAAGGGCCAAAACTCATATCCATAGTCACTACACGTTTTCTCTAGCATGTTTAAGTGGATCAAGATTATCTCTAAAAAGTTCCGAGTAAAGTATCTAATCTCACTCTCCTCAATACAAGAAAAAACCTGGAAACTAACACGCAATGAGTAAGTTTAGTTTACTGCTGCTCTATTCCTCCTGCAGCTCATATATCTGCATGTATGCTTCTGATAGTTCAACCATTTGGGGAAGTGTTTCTGCAACATGCAAATCCTGCATCTCGTACCTGAAATGCATTGACATTAATATCCTTCAGTTCTTTTGCTAATATACCCCGTAACTATGTGTTAGAACTGTGATATCTGATATGCTAGAAAGCTCATTAGAGAACATTAACACACAGAACAAGTGAGCTTTTGTCATTCCCATATACTGCAAGTAATGAAAACCACACATTTTTGTAGAAGAGAGAAAGCTTACCATAGTTCCTGTGACTTGCGCTGCACAAAGACTCTGAAGTACCCATCCTCAGGCTTCCCATCATGTACAATGTTAGCAATTAGATTATACTTCGTGGAAACCTTCTCGCCTTCTGCAACAGTAGGCAGTGATGGTATATAATCCCTCAGCTCCATGTCCTTCACTGGGAAGTTTACTGTGGTGTCGAAAAAAAAAAGTGACTCTAATTAACCAGGAAATATAAATCCTTGTAAATCATTAATGTCACAAAAAATCCAAATAAACTCACCCAAGGTAGGATTCTTCTCCTTGAAAAAGTTGTTCTTCTTAAACCGAACCATATGGAACATCAAGTAAGGAGGAGATTTTGTTACTCGATATCTCATTCTAGCTAGCTTAGGGCGAACCACCTCTGTCACAGTTTCTCCATCAAACTTCTTCAATAAATCGAATAGAGCAACCTGACACCAACATCAAAGAAATTAGCTTCTGCTTACCTCACTTTGCTAACTAAAAACTCAAAAACGCAATGGAACGCCAATAAGGAGTCAAGACAATACTTCTTAACACATAAAGTGGATTCTAATAAGACGGTCTACCTTATACTAAGCATCACTCAGTATCAGTATCGGCATGTCTCAACAAAATGTGATATTATTATATAGTATAACCTTGTAAGTTTTCTAGCTTAACACACCACACAATGTTATTCATAAAGGGACAGCAGCAGCAAAATTTGCAAGGTTGAAATAGCCATAACTTAAAAGTCTAAAGGAAGAGGTCTATACCTGGGGAATAATGTTCTTCTCCATGACATCTTTGAAAAGAGGAGGCGGTGGCAAATCTAGCCCAAGCATCAGAAAAGGCATCCTGGAGATTTCTTTGTTTTCATTGCCTTGATACTCTCTCACAACCTCCAACTCACCCTGTAATGATTAGAACATTACTTGAAAATGCACCTTTTTACAAGCAATTATATCAAACTACATTATGTTGGCGTGTCAAAGGATAGACACAAACCTGAAAGCACTGATGGATGATACTGCTAGCGTTCTTTGAAGTTCTAAGATCCATGTGCAAAGTGTTGAGTAGCCACGACATAAACTCCACTGGATCTGATTGTTGGCCTATCCTGAATCGTTTCTTGCTGGCTTTCATTACAGCTTGCAAGAATTCATGTGGACTCACCTGTTAAATTAAATTTAGTGAAGGTATGAAAAAAACTAAAAAAATGAGGCATGATAATAGAGTCAACCTGTCCTTTAAAGTTCCGAGCATGCCAAATCTTTCGAGTGAGTTCCCCAAAGCGGTGAACAAGAGGAGACTTGCAATGCTTATAATTTTCAGGAATAAGGAAAAAGTTCCTTAAAGGAGTAACTCTCATCAACGATTGGATTGTGACATTCACAAACTCCGTCTTTTGTATGTTGTTCAACCCCACCTATTGTATAAAGCAACTTCTATTAGGAGACAAACTTACTTAATGGTTGATAAACTGTATTCAAAGAGAGAGAGGATTACCATTCCTGGAAGATAGTCAGACCCATCAAGAGCCCTAGACCACTGCTTATTCCTATCAAGCTCCTCCACTTGTGCCCTACTAAACCTACAAACGAATAACACCAAACACCTTGATAATAAGGAACTAAAACCTATTGAGACAATAGTCAAAGACATACCTTGGATTCAAAACATGTCTAATATCATCCAAAGAAGGGTCATTAATCTCATAACTATCAGGCAAACAATACACTTTCTCAGTCAGAAGATTGATGTAAACATGGTGCCCTGCTTCCAAGCTATGTGTATAAGCATGAGACTTCTGACTTCTCCCTTGGAAATACTTCCCACAGACAAGACATGCATACACATTCAGATTCGAAAGGGAGACAGAACAGAACCTCTCGAAATCAAAATCCAAAACCTTGCAAACAAATCAAACCAAACATAAGATTAGATTACATTACAAAGGACAAGACTTTTGGTTGGTAAAAGTAAGATGATGATGATTTTTTTTTACCTGACGGTTGACTGTATCAAGATAAGGGCAATCACGACGAACTTCGACGTTGCGTGAATGCTTTCCAGGGCTCTTAAAGGCGTCATCTTCGTCGTCTTCGAGCTCATCTATTACTCTCTTCCGCTTCAGCTCTCTGTCTTCTTCGTCCACGACACCACCGTTCTTGACTTCTTCTCTCTCACTTTTCATCCTCGAAATCTTCTTAAGAAGCTTGCTTCAATACAAACGACCTAGACTTCGAATCAGAAGAGTCGATGGTGGTGAATCTGCTCGAGCAATCAAGAACTTCACTCGCTTCGAAGGCCGAAAGGTGAACCAGGCTTTTTTTTTTGTTTCTTGTTGGGCCTTACTGTTCTAACCCAATGGTAATTAGTTTGATACTTTTGTTTAGTAGTATTATGTAGAGTTATTTTTTTACTTTCTCCCTTCTGAAAAAATCCAATTTTTGTAAAAAAATATTTTAAAAGATACATTTTTATATTTTAAATTACTATTTAATAGTATTAAATTTTAAAAATTAAGAAAATTAATTACATAATTATTCGTTAAAAGTTACAGAAATTTAATAAATTACAAAGATTAATGTAGTATTAATCAAAATTTAATATATTTTCGATTTTATCTGAAAATTCTAAAACTTATATTTTGTTGAAACAGTGGAAAACTTTTTTTAAAGTTAATTAATTTTCGGGATTTTTTTTTGCTAAAAGATTAAATTTTCTGGATTTTCATTATATTTATATTAAAAACAAGTTATATATTAGGATTAACAATTCCAAATTTATGTAAAAAATTATAATAAATCAATAAAATTTAAGTACTTTTATAATTTATCAATGTTATTTAATAAAAATGTATATAAAAACTTTAAAAATCAAGCTTTCTGAATTAACCTTTAATTTTTTGGAAATTGTAAATACCCTCCCTATTCAAAGAAGATGTGATAATTAAATTTTTTTCACATCAATCTTATTTGTCACAGGATAATATTCTGTAATCTTTTCTTTTTTGTTTTGTTGGCACAAAACTATTAATCTGTATTCTGTACTAATTATTAAAGATTCACGATCCAATGCTAACAAAATTCCACTCATATCCTCAAGCGTCTCGAAACCAACAAAGTAAACGCGTCAAAATCTCAGGGGACGTAGACGACATTTAACATCGAGTGAAAGGATGGGTTCAAGTTACAGCCAGCTGGCCAGGAAGTAAAAGTACCAAGATAACCTAAACGACGACACTACCCTCTACTATAAAGCTTTACACACCATGACTCACGAGGGTAATACGGACATTTACACCAACTAGATAAATCGAAACCAACCATAAAAGGACATTTTCGTCATTCACAGAGTTATAAAGAGAGAGACAGAGAGATAAAACAGAGACGTCGAAGGAGAGAGAGAAAGAGACAAGGGTAAGAGAAATAGAGAGAGAAAGATTTGTTTTTTTTTTTGTTGGGGTTTGGTTTCCTCTGGTAAATGATAAAGCTTTGAGACAATGGTGTCGGACCAGGATCTAGCGAAAGGAGTCGAGACTTTGCTCCGACAATCCGACCCCACATCTCTCACTTCCTTAACCAGTGTTGTTCAGCAGCTTGAAGCTAAGCTAGGGTTAGACCTCACGGACAAGACAAGTTTCATCAGAGACCAAATCAATTTCCTCCTCCGTCCTCACCCACCACAACCACCCTCCTCCTCCGCCTCCTCTGCTTCCGCATCAACCGTACAACAACCTCCGCCTCCGCCGCAGCAGCTGCATTTCGGCGTCAATGTTCCGGGGAAAGGGCATTTCACTCAGTTCTCTGCTTCGCATTCTCAACAATACCCTCCTCCTCCTCATCATTTCGCTCTCCAGCCTCCTCCTCCTTACCACTCTTATGACCTCAATTTCCGGCAGCCTTATCCGGCTTACATGCCTCCGCCGCAGCAGCAGTACCACCACCAGCTACAATCTCCGCGGCAAGGATCCTCTGTTCTTGTTTCACAAGGCGTTAACGCTTCTCTCTCTGTTAATCAAGCCCCAAAGGAAAGGTTAGTTCGTGGAGGGTTTTTAGGGTTTGCATCATATACTAATTTTAGGGGTTTCCGGTTTAGGAAAGTCTAAATTTTAGGTCAGGTTTCTTCATTTACTGGATTTTTTCTTACAAAGTTTTGTAATTTTAGCTTAAAGAATCAAACTTTATGAAATTATTGCAAGTTTTATGAGTTGGTTTTGTGTAATGTTAGGTTAAGTTTATTCATTTGCTGGTTTTTAGGTTTACTTGCCCAATTTTAGAGTAATCCAAAAAATTGGATTTTTTTTTTGCTTACAAAGTTTTGTAATTTTTACCCAAAGTATCAAACTTTATAAAATTATTGCAAGTTTTATGAGTTGGGTTTGTGTAATTTTCTCTGTTGCAGTGCTCCAGCTGGTACTAAAAGAAAGGGTGGTCCTGGAGGGTTAAACAAGGTCTGTAGGGTTTCTCCAGAACTTGAAGTTGTTGTTGGTGAACCTGCTCTTCCCAGAACTGAGGTTATTATTACAGTTTTAGATTTATGATGATGACAATGTGTATAAGTAAATGCGGATTGTTATAAGAATGCTGCTCTGTTTTGTTTTTTTTCCAGATTGTGAGGCAACTATGGGCTTACATAAGGAAGAACAACCTCCAAGACCCAAGTAACAAGAGGAAGATCATATGTGATGATGCGTTGCGTGTGGTTTTCGAGACTGATTGCACTGACATGTTCAAGATGAATAAGTTGCTTGCTAAGCATATTCTCCCGCTTGATCCATCCAGTAATGGTTTCGTGTGTTTTGCTCAAAACTCCACATGTTCTTGATTAGTTCATTGTTACTGACTGTTTGAAATCTCTTTGTTTGGCAGAGGACTCTGGTCAAGCTAAACGGGCAAAAGCTGAGGTGGAGACTAAGACTGAGACCACAGAGCCTGTTACTTCATCTTCAGCTGTTACATTATCTGAGCCACTTGCAAAGTTCTTTGGCACAGGTGAGACGGAGATGAAGGACGAAGAGATTATTCGCCGTGTTTGGGAGTACATAAAACTCAATAACCTAGAGGTTGGTGTTGAAATACTCTGTTTGCTCCTTTTTTTTCTGCTAATAAAGCTTATTTTGTGGGAATTAGTTTCACATTTCCGTATGTTATAGAGCTTATTGAATTGGCTATAAACAAGGAAACTAAGCACCCTTTTGTTTCTGCCTTTCAATATGTTTATTACAGGACCCTGCAAATCCAATGGCTATTCAGTGTGATGAGAAGCTCCGTGATCTTCTTGGGTGTGAAAGCATTTCAGCTGTGGGGATTAATGAGATGCTAAGGCGCCATATGTACAAGCCTTCCTGATATCTTCTGGTTCTGACTTAATTAACTAGGAACTACTAGTGTAAGTGGACGCTTTTATTTCACAGATTATGATGGTCTATATATCAGCATAGGAAGTGACTTATGAGTCACAATTCTCTTGCAGGTGTATCTAGGGAACCTACTTATGACTCGTTGGGGATGTGTAGAAGGACTCTGATAAGGAAGCAAAGACCATTTTCACTTTTAACTTCCTGTAATGCTATTTTCATCTTCCTTTTGGTTCTTTGTTTCTTAGTTGGTTGTGTATCGACATGGTTAGGGTACTTTAGTATTTTACAGTATTCAGGGAATCTGTGTGATTCCCGTGGTACTGAGAACTCTAGTGTAATGGTCAAAATGGCGCAGATGTTTTGTATTTAACGCCATTATCCCATGAATGTTTTAGGATAAAAAATACAACAGTGAAATGATAATGTGTGTTTAACTATGTACATGGATAAAAAAAACAACAGTGAAACTAAGCTGTACATCTGGCCCAGGACCTAGCTTAAAACCCACAAGTCCATCTCTTGTTTCATGAGCTGTCGTACTTCCATGCGTAGGTACTTATTAAACTTGTTCGTATTAAAAGGCTACTTCAGCTAATTCTTGGATATGAAAATGATTTGTCTTCACGTACTTACGAATTCACACCATTTTATTCAACAGCTCTGATTTTGACCAGCTGTACTCAATGTCTTGGACCTCGCGGCGAAAGACTCTTTAGACATTGCAAATTTTCTGATTCTTATGAAACAATTGATGATATGCAACGAATGATGCATAAACTGTATTTATAATAAATACCTTCAAGACATTCTTGAAACATCATCCCACATTTTTCATTATGATCTTGGTGTAAACCTGTTTATTGTACCGTTGCATTTACATATTGACCTCAGATCTTGAGTGCTGAGAAGGACGGTCTTGCTATTATTCAACATGAACGAGGTTTACCACGATTCTAGAACCATGCATAATCTGTGTTGAGAGACATGATGCATTGTTGTCATAAACATCGATCTCTACCAATTTTTTTTTTCAAAATTAAAATTGAGGGCCAAAAACTAGATGTATTATAAAAGTATAAATGTAAAATATAGAACTCTCAAATAATCATATATATATATATATATATATATTTAAGCAAATATTTCTTAATCATTTGGGAAAAAATGTTATATACATATTAACCACTAATATTTTTGGGTATAAACGAATGTTTCATTTCGCACAGAACCGCCCATGAATATGAGAGCCTTGAACACACTTGCACAAATTTCATATTCTCCACAGTCTACATGAGCAGCAACATTTATAAAATGACTATGCCCTTCAAACCCTTGAATATTGACTCTTGTAAAGTGTAACTCTCCAAATTGTAGAAGAAAAGGTCGAATGAGTTTGATGGATCGTGAGAGTTCGACCGGTACACAAGTTTACCCGTACTAGTACCAGTACTTGTCATTCCAACAAAGGTGTTATCCTTAAATATCTTGTTCCCCAATGAAGGGCATATGCTTATTATTTCCAGCATCTTCTAGAGCCCATGTTATTTGAGGTGAAAATGGTTTGAACAATATAAAGAGAGAGATGAGGGCGAACAAAGACGTTTTATTAGATCTGAACAAGGAGTTACAAAGAGAAGAGTAAAGAGGCGGACTAGCCGGAAATACAAGATGGTGAGTAAACGGGAAGGTGACTAAACGGGAAGGTGAGTAAACGAGAAGGTGACTAAACGGGAAGGTGAGTAAACCCTAGATCTAACCACCTAGTCGCTAAGAAACCGTAGATCTAGCCGCCAAGTGAGTATGTCGAATTGTCCCCCCCCTTCTTGTTGCTTCCTCTTATCCCTTTTATAGACCCTGTCCTCGTGTTCGACCTAGTTCACTTGAGCCTTGTTGGGCTTGATTCTCGTCGGGCCCGTTTAGTAGCCCGGGTAAATCCTGCTTCCACCGAGTCTTCTAGAACGCTCTTTGTCGCGCTACTAGACACGTCCTCGTGCTGAGGCGTTTCCTACGCGTTTAGTGGGCCGAGTAGATTGTCACATCGGGCTAAGCTTCTCCGTTTGATGGGCCTTGTGGAGGGGTATAACCCATCTCCTACAATAAGTCCCCCCAGTTCACTTGTGAGCTCTTAAGACTCTAAGTGAATTTGTGGTCAGGTTTGATCATATGGAGAATCTAGCACGGATGCGCATTTAGGCGCCACCTTGAGCGAGTTTAGTAGCGCAGCTAGATTGTCTTCTACTAGTGCGTGTTTAGGCNCGTCTAGTAGCGCGGTTAGATCGTCTTCTACCAGTGCGCGTTTAGGCGACACTTTGAGCGCGTCTAGTAGCGCGGCTTGGACGTCAACCACGAACGCGTTTAGGCGATCGCCTCGAGCGCATCTAGTCGCGCGGATAGGATGCCTTCTGTTGACGCGTTTAGGCGTCGCCTTGAACTCGTCTAGTCTCGCGGCTAGAATACCTTCTGTTAGCGCGTTTAGGCGTCGTCTTGAACTCGTCTAGTCTCGCGGCTAGAATGCCTTCTGTTAGCGCGTTTATGCGTCGTCTTGAACTCGTCTAGTCTCGCGGCTAGAATGGCCTCTGTTAGCGCGTTTAGGCGTCGTCTTGAACTCGTCTAGTCTCGCGGCTAGAATGGCTTCTGTTAGCGCGTTTAGGCGTCGTCTTGAGCTCGTCTAGTCTCGCGGCTAGAATGGCTTCTGTTAGCGCGTTTAGGCGTCGTCTTGAGCTCGTCTAGTAATACGACTAAGTCGTCGCCTGTGAGAGCACGTTTAGGCGCCACCTTGAGCGCATCTAGTAGCGCGGCTAAGACGTCGTCTGCAGGAGCGCGTTTAGCGGTCACCATGAGCGGATCTAGTAGCGCGGCTAAGACGTCGTCTGCTGGAGCGCGTTTAGCGGTCACCTTGAACGGATCTAGTAGCGCGGATAAGACGTCGTCTGATGGAGCGCGTTTAGCGGTCACCTTGAGTGAATCTAGTAGCTCGACTTGATCTTTACTTGATCTGGTTGACCGACTGAGATATGCGTTTAGCAGGCACCATGAGCGAATCTAGTAGCTCGACTTGAACGTTGCCTGATCTAGTCGACCGATTAAGATGCGCGTTTAGCAGGCATCCTTTTATCTTCTCCTAACCGCTTTCCGGTTTAGTTTCAGCCGCTTCTCGATTTAACTCCGGTTGAATTTTGGTTCGTCTCAAAGGATGTACTTGGTCGGTTTATTGG